CTGATTAGGCACTAGTTGAAGATCTGTATTTGTGTACCAAAGTCTGAGAGGCTCATGGGAAATGATATTAAACAAGCAAGGCAGATTTTATGTGTATGTATGCACATACACACACACAGAATGTTTTATATATTTATTTTAGACAGAAACACGTAGTAATATGAAAGTTTTCAAACCACAAGAAATGAGAATATACAGTTACAAGTCAGTTGCTGTTAGCATTGTTTAAAGACGAAATGTGTTGATTGATCTTCTCCTGAGATGTTTGTAGGTGAAGTTCGTGGAAGGTTTTCTGTATTGAATTTAAGATTTCTTCCTGTGTGTTCCAAAATATTTCAGATGCTCAGAGTCATGATGTTGATTAGGTGTTTGCTTTCATGTGAACAATCTATTGATGTTAAGAAAACTAATCATCGAAGTAGATTTGTATTAATTTAGACTTTTATAAATTCAAGAAAAAATAAATGAAAATGTGATTTTAAAAGTATCCTTTTCATATTCTAAACCAAATAATTATTTTGAAACCTACATTGATGCACTTGCTGAGTTTGTATTACTCACAAAGAAAATTGTAATTTAATATTTTATGTTAGTACTGATGGTGATGTGTGAGAGGAAAAACGAACCTTGGAATTAGAAGGTTATATCTGTGATTTAGGACACAGTAAAATTCTTGAGAGTATGTAAAAAAACCCAGTGAATTTACATGTTATGTAAAAGCCAGGACACAGCATACTAAATATTTTTTACACGATTAATACTTTAGTTTACAGATAATCCTTAGCTGATCATTTCATCCAGTTTTCCTTTCAATTTTTTGATTGTAAAAGGGTGAAAAACCATTTTTCAGAAAGTATTTTTGAAGTGGTTTATGATGGGAAAAATAATGAAGATTTTAATTGCATGTCTCGGGTTTTTTGTGTTTGGAAATGCGACATCATTGTTATTCCCTGAAACTTATTCCTTTAGTGAAAACAAGGCTACAGAGTGACCTTTTATTGAGCTAATAGGTGAAATCAAACAAAAACCAAAAGCATTTTCTTGAAGTTTAATAGAAGTGATAGGGGTTTATCAGGCAAGGCCCTTTAAGTATTAAATGTAACCCTTTTTTACAAGGTATTTTTGTACTCTTTGAGTTCTTCCGATTCCCATTTCTTAAGAAGCTTTAATGCAAATGTATTGATAGTTCTTTAGTCTAGATCTACTGGAGTTCAATTTAGGTCTGTAGAATTTTTTAACTTGGAAAAACCAACCCCGTAGAACCCATTTATTTGAGAATGTTGAGCTTTCAATGGCTAGGGAAAAAAAAGAGCTATGTATTTGATGGCATTTTAAAAAATAAATATGTACAATAAAGTGTAGGGTGTTAATAGTATTGGGCAAATAAAACCTAGTTTTATCATCTTGTATTTCTCAGTCCTGTCTACAGAGACTTGATGAGAGTAGCTGGCTGCATTTCTGACAGCACGGAAGAGTTGGATTAGTTTAATGATTTGTAGCTATAGACAGTAAAATAATTTAGTCTTTCTTATTCTTGCCAAAATGTTCCTTGACTGTTGAAGAAAAGGATCCATCTTTGTTGCACCAGTTTTCTAGGACAGGTAGAATTGGTGCTATTTCCATAGATTTTTATTTGAGATTGCTAAGAAATGTGCTGTCTTGTGTTTGTGGAGATACGGGAAAATATCCATAGTTTGAATTCAGTTTTTAGCTATTTTATTTCAAAAGATGAATGTAGATAATTTATTAACTTGAGAGTTTCGTTTTGGTAGCTTTCTACCAGGGGCCTGGGAAAGTGTCTCTGCTTTGTGTGATGAAGAAGTATGTGTTGTATATAAGTTCTTTAATTAAAAAGATAGTTTTCCATTGTAAAGAGGTGTCTTTAGCTTTTGAGCAGTCAAACAATAAGTGTGTTTTCCATTACTTCATGCTGTTACTACAAAAGTAAGCAGCAATAAACTTAACCAAGAGGTTTATCATGTGTTAAATTAGAGCTTTGGACAAAAATCCTGCTGCCTCAAAGTGACACACACTAATGAGAGCTAAAGTACACAAAACTTTCCAAGATCCTGGTGATACTGTTTCTGTCAGTGTTCGAATAACATACCTTTTGCAAAAAGTACTGTACTACCTAATAATGACAAAAACTGAGGCCTACCGTAAACCACAATCAGGCACACTTGCATTACGCCTGTACTGTCCCATTGCAGCCTTCCATGATGGAACTGATCAGGATAAAACTGTTCACAAGGATGCTTGTTTGTATTTTGAACTTGGAAACCTTCGGTATGTATGGTGCTTTGGGCTAATAAAAAAACACATATAACCATTGTCTGCATGATTGGAAGTGTATGTATGTTATTTTCAGAGAGAGATTTACAAAATTGAGCTTAAGCAACTATAAGCAATATATTGATCATATTCATCACATAATCAGATGTGAGAAAACACAACAATTCGTAGTGTAAAGATGTCAAGGTTTTAACTACACCAAAACAAGTCATGAGTCTTTACTGAGAGATTGTCACATTTGGGTTATGCAATAAACAGGTCACAGATTGAAGAATTAATTACCCTTATAGGAACTTGCTGGAAATGTTTGGCTTTTTTATATAAAACTTTCTTGTGATTGTTTAAGTTTGAATCTAGTGCCATTTGGTTTTCTTTCATTTTGTATTAATCATTTGGACAGACTCATCAAATAGCTGAATATGGAATTGAATTGCTTGGATTGGGAATTACAATTTCATTTAAATGTGTAGTGCACTATCATAGGTAACTGTGGCTTTTACTGTGGCCTTTGCATTGAAAGACAAGTTTTATATCTCCTGTTCAGTTGCTTATGCTGTTGTGTGAGTTTCACCCAATTAAGATAAGACCAGTATACTTCCTCTCATTCTCCTAGCCTCTTTTTTATTATCCAATGGCTACATGCAAATTTCCATGGATGGTTTTAGCAGGAGGCCAAGTAACCAAGAGATACCTTTTTTACTTCACATTTTTGCTATCTTGACAGAGCTATGTTTTGATTAATTTTGTACTTCTGCAATGAAAACAGATATTCTTAATGGCACTTCAGAGAAACTAAGGGGAGTTTGATGGACAGGGATACTCTTCTTCCATGTGTGCCATTTTCTGGAAGTGTCGATTGAGTTTGCTGAGTGTCAAGTGGTTCAG